TCCTGAAGGAAAGTGGAAAGGTCCGAAGTTTAAGATGCCTGAAATGCACATGAAAGCTCCCAAAATCTCCATGCCAGATTTTGACTTTAACTTGAAAGGACCCAAAGTGAAAGGAGATGTGGATGTCTCAGTACCGAGCTTGGAGGGTGATCTGAAGGGCCCTGCCCTTGACATCAAAGGGCCCAAACTAGACGTTGATATTCCAGATGTTGATCTTGAAGGACCTGAAGGGAAGTTGAAAGGACCCAAATTTAAAATGCCTGAAATGCATATCAAGGCTCCTAAGATATCCATGCCAGACTTTGACTTGGGCTTTAAGGGACCCAAAATGAAGGGGGATGTTGATGTTTCTGTACCAAAGTTGGAAGGTGACCTTAAAGGCCCTGATGTAGATATCAAAGGGCCCAAAGTTGGTGTTGATTTTCCTGAAGTTGACCTTGAAGGGCCTGAAGGAAAACTTAAAGGTCCTAAGTTTAAGATGCCTGAAATGCATTTTAATGTTCCTAAAATCTCTATGCCTGATATAGATTTGAACTGGAGGAAGCCTAAAGTGGAAGGGGAAGCTGATGTAGCTATACCAACAGTGGTGGGGGATTTGAAAGGCCCAAGTGTGGATATCAAAGGTCCCAAACTAGGTGTTGATGTCCCTGATACTGAAATTGAAGGACCAGAAGGGAAATGGAAAGGGCCCAAATTTAAGATGCCTGAAATGCACATCAAAACTCCCAAACTTTCCATGCCAGAATTTGATTTGAATTTGAAAGGTCCTAAAATGAAAGGAGATGTGGATGTTTCTGTGCCAAAGCTAGAGGGGGATATTAAGGGGCCAGAATTTGATATTAAAGCCCCCCAATTAGATATTAAGGACCCTGATATAAGTGTGGAAGTACCAGAGGGAAAGATAAAAGGTCCTAAATTTAAGATGCCTGAAATGCACATCAAAGCTCCAAAGATCTCCATGCCAGATATAGACTTGAACCTCAAAGGTCCAAAACTGAAGGGAGATGTTGATGTTTCTGTTCCCAAACTGGAAGGTGACCTGAAAGGTCCAGATGTGGATATCA